CTGGCAATCACCTATTCCTGCTCCAGCACACAAGCAAGTCTTGCAAGGGCTTTGCTCTGCAGATGGCCACCCCAGCACCTTGGGCACAGCCCGAGGGTTTTCTGCAACCTGCCTACAGGGATAGGGACTGAAACTTTCTGAGCTTCTTCAGCTGTGACTGCTGCCTCCAGCAGGCTCCAAACCCTGGCTGCTGCCCCAGCCCACGCCAAGGCTGTAGCTGCTGCAGGACAGGCCATCAGGGCACGCACAATAGCTCCGGGCCCAAAGGCCACGTCCGAGTGAGCCCAGGAGGAGGACAGGGAGAGCTGTGCTAGAGCAGGGCGCTACGTCTGACCGCGACAGAATGAGGCTAGGATGACTAATGAGGGAAACCAGCGCGGCTGCAGCTTTCCAGCCCAGTGCCCTCACAGGTTTCTGTGCAGGATGGTAGCACTTCGGGCATTTATTGGTGTCATACCACATATCACATACCACTGATTGCTCCTTAAACCACATCTCTGTGGCCCCACCAGCCGTGCACCTTGCTTGGACACACTGTTTAGAAGGGCACATCGCCAGTATTGACAAATGAGTTACCACTCTGAGCTTCTGGGGGGTGCTTTGCTACTTCAGTACTTCTGCCTGTTGTACCTAAACATGTTCCTGCTCTCAATGATATCACTGCTCTGTCCCCCGTGTTTTGACAGGTAAGGAGACGAGGGGCACTGTGGCTTTAAGAAGGTCACTTCCACTGTCCTGCCGGTGTAATTAGCCTGCTAAAGAAAGGGCAGAGGCTGGAAATTGGATTGAGCAAACCAGGCTTTAGCCTCGGGATGAAGGCAGAGCCCCAGGATTGTTATGTTAATCACCTGAGCTCAGCAGTCCCTGCCCTTCAAACCAGCACAAGCCCAGGACCCCTCTGCAGAGCCAACCCGACCTGGCTCCAGCCTGCCCTGCCACTGCTGGCCTTGGGGACACTGGGGACAGCCCTGCGGACAGACCGGGGCCACCCAGCACCACCGGGGTGCCCCTGCCCTGCCAGCAGCCCATGGTCACAGCGCGCTGCTGGGCCCAGCTGCCAGAGGGATGAAGACTCAACGGGGGTCACGGGCGATGCTGTGAGCTGGGGGGCCAGGGCTGCTTTACGCCAGCTGAGGATCCAGCCCTGGCCGTGCTGAGTCAATGAGCACGTCTGGAAGCACAGACTGCTTCACCAGTGGAGAAACAGCATTAAAAACAGGCCCGATTTGTACCCAGCATAACAACTGTAGGCAGAGGAGCCGTGCGAGATGCAGCTGGGGTTCAGTGGGGGACACGAGCCCAAGTTGTCGTGCCCAAGTCCAGCACCTTCAATGCCAGGGCTCACTCAAGGCAACCCCAGGGTAAGTCCTGGGGGTACAGCCCTGCACCAGAGCTGCCACCTGCACCGTGCCCCCCTGACCACCTCCAGCACGAGCCGGTGCAGCTCTGCTGAAACAAGCAGCACTGCACAAGCCAGGGGTGGCTTGGCCCAAGGTGCCCGGGCTGCTGAAGGGCTGCGTCTGTGGCGAGCCAGCAGGAGCTGGCGGCGAATCGCTCCCGGTCACAGCCGGCTGCCTGCTGCCTCCTGTTTTGTCCTCACCGCCTCTCCCCTCTGAGGGGAACAAGTTTACCTCACTGTGCTTTGCTAGTTTGTGCCCCCACAGGCAAACCGGCCTGGAAGGATGCCCTTTTGTCCCCTCTGCTCACAAACTTTAGGCTAGCAACCCTCACCACCACCACCACCACCCACCTCCTTCCCCACTCAGCAGCCCAGACCGGCCATTGTCCCCCCCCTCGCAGGCCCTATTTTTGTAGGGCAAGCTCTCGCCTCTCCCCCTGGCCGGGCCAGCTGGGGCTCCGCGTTGCCTCCCTTGTTCTTCCACACATTTTTTCACTGCGCCCCTGCGCTGCCGGGGAGGGGGAGGGAAGGAGGAGGATGGGAGGGCAGCGTCTGGCCCCGCGTCCAGCGCGCCGGATGGCATGGTTTTGGAGAGGCCTGGCTTAGTGAAGTTATTCAAGCCAACGGCAGCCTGGCAACCGGGCGGCCACAATGGGAGCGCAGGAGGAGGAATGTTTCCACATGCCTGATCAATGGGAGCAAGGGAGACAGCAAAGCAAACAGAAGCTGGGAAAGAGACACAAAGAGAAAGCAGCCTTTTCTCTGCTCAGTTCCTTTCATTTGTCACAGCTCTTTGTGAAGCTGATGACAACGGAGGCCCTTTGGAGGCTAGTTTTAGGGAGTTTGGTTTTTCTAATTAAATAAAACGCTGCGTCCTTTTTCTTCACTTGTCACCTTCCAGCTCACCAAAAAATGGACGAGCAGCCCCATCTGTGCTCCAGCCTCCGACTCCGTGCACCTCCGGGGAGCCCCGAGCACCTCTCCCTGCCCGGGAAGGCAGAGGGGCAGAACCACCCCATCGCTTACTCCAAAGCATCTCCTGGGCTGTATGAGGTGCCCAGCCCGAGCTCTGCAGGGCCTGGGGGGCCAGCAGCACCGAGCAGCACATGCCACCCGCGCCCCCCCGGCTGCTCGTTACGGGAATAAAGAGCCTGGCTGAGGACGGCTCCTCTGGAGGTGGCGTGCTCTCCGCAGCAGCTGCTGACGAGACTATCGGGCAACTTTCTATGGGAACGAGGCAGCGTTCAAAATAGGGTTAGAGGGTAGTTGCCTTGGAAACTTGGACCGTTTCTGCCGAGGGGTTACGATTTTCCCCGCTAGGTCCCAGACGGGATTTACCTGGGAGCTGAGTGTGGGACAGAAGCTCCCGCCCGCTGCAAGAGGCAGCGAAGCGGCTCCCCAGGAGGCGAAGGAGGGGTTTCTGCAGAGAGGCACCCGCTCACTGGTGCTGGGCTGCACAGTGACAAACAGCGGCCAGATCCAGCCCCGTTGCGTAACCAGTGGTGGGAGCCCAAAGTTGTTTCCTCTAATTACTATGCAAGAGTTCACAGCAACAGGCCTCCTCTGTGCAGGAGTTTACAGAAAAGGCCCTCCCTGGCTGCAAGCCACTGCCAAGCAAACCAACAGGAGAGGGAGTTTGGGGGTGAGCTTTCCAGCACTGAGGTCAGACCAGAGATTATTCACTTAAAAATAAATCTAAAAAAAGCCTGCTTTGTTGGATATAACCCTGAAGAATAGAAAAAGACTGGTTGTTGAATACACCTGCTTGTTCTGAGACACCACCAAAACGCAGGCTTCCTCTCCAGCAATGTCTCCATCCCCAAACAGCCAGGGCTGCAGAAGCCAAGCTCCAGCCCCTGGGCACCACGCGTGCAGGAGGATGAATGATCCCACCTGCACATCTTCTGCTCAGTCTGATTCAAGTGACCAAACTGTGAAAGGAAGACTCAGCAACATGAGTGCTGGAAATGGCAGCACGAGCTTCAGACAGACCGAAACGTGGTCCTGACAACTGGTGGAGCACTGGCTCAACACCAGAAAATCCCTGGCCACCATTCCCAAAGGACTAAAGGCACCAATGGCTAAATACAGGCTCCTCAGAAGCACAGGTTTGCTCACTGCCAGGCTCTCCAGGCAGATAGCAAGTTCCTCTGCTGGTGCCTGTTTCTACTTGTAGGATTTCTGCTGAGCCCTGGGATAGATCTCTTGGCTCCGCAGAAGCCCTGTTTCTCAATCAGCAGGGCTAAGGTCAGTCCAGATGTTCTGGCAGGCAGGCTGTGAGGTGACCAGGAGCCATAGCAGCTCCAAAGCCAGCCCACCTGACCAGCACTGCGCTCCCAGCATCTCCACCCAGCCTCTCCCCAGGGGTTCAGGCACACCCCTGCTGCCTGGCCAGGTTAAAGAGGCTCCCATGAGGTGTTCTGCATGGACACCATGGAGGCTTCCTCTGCTTCAGTCTGGAGGAATCAAGGGGTGACAGCCTGCCCCACTTGCACTGTTTCCCCACCCCAGCAGGGTTCCATCTGATGTGCTGGGCAGTGATACTTATCAGCTGCTCCTTCAGTGTTGTAAGTGCTTCTAAGGAAGAACAGTAATAATAGGAAGTATAGATGACTAAAGAAGGGGATTCTACCTTCCCCAAGTCTCCACAATTCCAAGCTGATTACATAGCAGCAAACACCACCTTGCCCTTGGGAAGCATCCCAATTTCCACAAGGGAGTGTATCAGTGCCATCCCAGTCCTGCCTTGCTCTCCCAGTGCCCCCAGACATGCGCCAAGCACCAGCCTGCAGCTGGATGGAAATCAGGAACCTCACCTCGCCGACTACAGAGCAAAAACTCACTGCACAGGCATTACCTTCTGCTTAAAAATTATTCCAGAACTCCTCGAGTCTTCTTGTAAGGAAGGAGAAATCCACCTTCACTCCTGCTCAAAGGACTGCTTTCATTAGGGCCTCCACAGATTTGCAATGGCAAGTATTTAACCTGCTTCAAAAATATTCATGAGACTCTCACATGCATTCAGTAAGGGCAGACAAGCAAAATCCTCAGCTCATGTTCTCCTGGGGTCCCATGGTGCTGATGGCAATATACATCCTAATTACCATATATACCATATTGAGAATGAGACCTTGTCAGCTCTGGCAACGCTTTCTTTGAGTCAAAGAAACAATCTGGAAGTGATTGTGATTATTTCTCAGTAGATCAGAAAAAAAAAAAGTCTAACCACGTGTGAATATTTTTAAATAAGTGCCCTCAGTGAGAAGCTTCCCAGACAGGCCACAGAGAACATTTGAACTGTACAAGAATATTTAGACATTTCCAGAGCTTAGGTTGTGTGTAAGAATAAAACATGCTCCTGTATGGGGAGGGGGGCAGGGAAGTCCTCAGGTACGAAGAGCTGTCAGGACAGTGCATGATGATATTCACTAAGCTCCTGAACAAAAATATTGCTCCTCTTCACAAACAGCGTGTTTGAAGTGTCACAGCACAGCATTCACGGGACAAAACAAGCAGGAAAGCAGCACTCACTCACCACAAAGCACCACAGAATGCTAACCAGTTACTGCAGACTCCCAGAAACCTTGCAGATGAGCGCAAAACACAACGCAAGCGGTCCCTTACGACAAAGGAAAGCAAAGTGCACTCCCTTTTAACACGATCACCGCGAGGCAGAGCAGCGTGCTAAGTACCAGCGCTCTGTAGCTCCTCAGTCTGCCTCTCTCAACAAGCCCCTTCTGTGCTGCCCATGGATTCATCTCGAGATAACATTCTTCAGCATAAGGACAACCTGCTGATGGACACACGCAATTAGTAGCCTGCTGACAGGCGCCCTTTCAGCCTCTCTGTGGCCCCTTTTACTCAGGTGAAGCTGGCAGAGCGATCGAGCCACCCATCCTTTGTTACAGCTCTATAAAGTGGAGGAAATAATTCAAGAAGTCTTAAAGGGAAGCCGCGGGTTAGAAGGAAAAATTGTGACAGCTATTCCATAACTGAGGAAGAAGAAACATTTTATCACTGTTGAAATGGTTCCCACCACCAAATCAATAAGTGCTTGAGCTTTTTATGATTCTCCTTAGCACAGGTAATAACACAACAGCCAGGCAAAGAGTTCGCAGCTGCCTGTAAATAAATAAATAAGCCTTGGAGGGGGAGAAGGGGTGGGCTGGAAAGAGAGCATTTCTTTTGGGAATGACTGCATTAATCCCAATTGCATTAATCCCATTAATCTTACACAGGAATACTTCCTCTAATATGCTTTCTTTCAGCCTTTTGAAAGCACGACCGTGATGCAGACAACGTGCAGATGATGCAGAGGGCACAAGGCGGCTGGGACGATGTGACTGCTCCCCTCGGCCTGCTGGTGTCCTGCAAGGCACAGAGAGCACACTGCACCCAGCCACCAGATCCCAGAGCAGCCTAATTACGTGACCTTACCACAAGGTTCAACCCCCTGGGCGGGAGGAAAGGAAATCCTTTCAGACACAGCACGTCGGAGCTTCTTGAGATCTTTCCCCTTTACTCATGCCTCAGCCCCACTGCTCTCACACATGGGCCATGGCCTTCTGTAATCGTGTTCCAAGCCGAACTGAAAGCAAAGTGATCCTAGCACATTTGGGCACGGATCAAACAAAACGGTGTAATGTGGTTGCAGGACAGACCACAGATACATTATACCACCCTCTTCCACCCACAGCCACAGCTCCCTAATAAAACTCAGAGAAATCCCTGCCCTTGGGTACTGCACATTCACACACCTGGGTCCAGAGACAAAGCTCAGGGCACATCCGACCCCATTTCCTTCAGCACTTGAGACCTGACCTTGACCATCCATTTGGCAGAGGGCGTGTGGCGTTCAGAAGCTGCTCCCCCCAGCGTCCAGGCCTTTCCCTCTGCTCACAAACACATTACACAGAGCAGCCCAAGCTCACCGCAGGTGGCACACAACTGAAACCAGGCATCTTTGCTACAGAAGCTTGCCAGACCCTCCTTAGCCTGCCACATCCCAAAACCATGGAAAGCGTTTAACTTTTCCAGTCTGCAGATCCCTACAGGCTTCTCCTGAGAGATACAGAGCTACGTATAATGAACGTCAGTCTGTCAAAAACAGACTTGCTTTGGTGTTATCCCTTATTCCTAGAAGAGCCTGTGGATCTCCAAAAGATGCTAGAATAGTGACTGGAAGTTATGCACTTGGGAAACAGTTGTACATTTCTCTTGTTAAAGCATGTAATAAGAATACTTACAAGATAGAAAAGCAGAAATTAAGTATGATCAACATGTCTTTACCTTTAAAGTTGCAACTTCTAGAGAACTCAGGAACACCGACTTGTACAGCCTTTCCTTATGTCTGTAGTGATCAGACAGCCCAGACAGCACGAAACATCTCTCTCCTAACTCCCTGTCTGGCTTACAGTGGCAGACTAAACAGCAGATACATGAATGCTACCCATAACCTCCACTGGAATTAAAAAGTCATTCACATAAAGCCATCAGCAACCTCCTCTACTCTGCCAAAATCTATGACTAGGCACGGACAAGCCCTCTTAATAGCTCTGCAAGTTTCCTTCTGGTGGGGCTGTAACAGCTGATCTCTGATACACCACTTAGCACCCATTGAACAGCAGCTGGGAAGGGAGAACAGGGCCTGGGGACGCTTACAGGTGGCCACAGTCATGTGCAGCCCCTTTCCTAGGGGATTTCATCACCCTGAAATTCTCCTAGTGCAGTAGGTAAGCCTTCTTCTGCACTGTCACTCTGTCCTACTGGTTACAGAGAGTTGGTTCTACCTCCAGGAGCACCAAAAGCCACTGTCTCATTTCCTCTGTCATCTGTATTCTCTCAGCACTGAAAGCCGTGCCAATCCACAAAGTTATATCCACCCACTGCTGTAATTCCACAAGTATATGCATCACTCGATTGCATTCAAACTGCCATGCTAATGGTGCCCAGCAGCAAGTCCTCCATCCTGCCTGCTGGCCATCTGAAAATAGCTGTAAGTTATTCTCTGTCATGCTAGGAGTGTTTGTCAGCTTGTCTCACACCCCGTTCTGGCAATACCGGTGTATCCAAAAGACATCTCACAACATCCATCACAAAAACAGCCACAAGGCCCAGCACTGAAACTGGCCACAGGATATCTGCCCACAGCTCCAAGAAGCTAATTTGAACCAGACCGAGCTGTATGGACTCAATAATTAACAAAGAATGTACCTGAAGCCAGTATATTAAGGGGTGAGAAGGCATTTCAGGTCCAGAGAATTAAACCATTGTAATCAGAGAGAAAAAAAAAAAAAAATCTGAAGTAAAATCCTTGCATAGACCTTGACTATTCCCTTAGCAGGACAAACCTGATGACTAGTTGTTGTTTACAACGATAAGGTCAGAGGAAAGGCCATTTCCTCTCAACAATTGTCAGAAGGGATTAAAACCTGCATTCAGGCTTGCTTTGAACTAGCAGGTACTCCATTCCCCGATGGTATCAGAATCCATTCAGCGAGGTCTCAAGCAGCCTCCGGGGCATGTCTCCATAATGCCCCCATTGTGGAAATATGCAGGACTGCTTCCTGCATTCACTCTATCTTTATGAAGCTTCACCCTTGTGGTCTGATACCCAGGTCAGGAAGCAATCCTGCAATCACTGTTTAATTAGTCATTTCCCAAGTCTGCCTCGGTTGAGAGTTGCTGCTGCTTGTCAGCTTCTAAAGAGGGAGGTTGGGAATCAGAAACATCACTACCAGATTGAGAAAGAAAAGTTACTCACAGGGTTTGAGGCTTGTTTGTGCTGTGGGCTGACATTCCACATTCTCCATTTCCACTTTTTTTTTTTTCTTTTTTTTCCCCCTAAGTAGGTGTTGAGAGGATGAAGGGGCCATTGCACCTCCTGCAAGTCAAGGCAAAAGCTGATTTATAACAAAAGCAGGTTTTATTTTTGTAGATTTGTTGGTATGGACTGGGCTTTGCTTGGCTTTGTTTGTTTGTTTGTTTGTTTTCTTAAGAAATACGAGCATTGGTACAGAATAACACATACTTCAAGGGAAATCTGTTCCAGGAATTCCAGTTGCGTACATGCCTGTGTGGAAGTCAGTGCTGAGCCCGAGCATTTGGGTGTACTGCAGCTCCGGCTTTTCCAAGTGAGTTCACTGGAAGAGGGACTTCTTACCATACAAGCACCAATTTTAAAGGAATGGGAGTTATGTATTAAATTGGAGTATTAAAATATTTGTCTAGATAATTAATGTTTGTGTGTGGAGGAATGTGAAATTAAAAAAATATGGTTGCTGAAATGCAACTGTTTTGGAAAACATGACTTTTGTTCAACGAAATAAATGAGGTATTTCAATAATGTCAAAGACCTATTTTGGCACTTTCTGTGTATTAGGGGTTGTCTAGAAAAGCTTTTGAAACAAAAAAAAAATACACTAATTATGTAAGAAGTCATATGAAGTTGTATAAATTTAAAGACACTGAAATCAGGGGAACTACTCTGATCAAAACAAAACAATGTATTCAGAGTTTCATTTTGTAAGAAAGCTTAATTTAAAATGTGATTCATTCTGGAATGGAAAAGACCTTGAAACCTCAGTATTTGCTAGGAAAATGATAACTCTGTCCTCTAGTTCCAGTTTTCTTTGCTCTGATGAAATATTTTAAAAAGAAGAGTATGTGCTAATTTTCTGGTGACAGCAAGACAGCCCTGCTTTTGACAAACGAATGCGAGGCATAAAAATATTAGAAGAAAAACCCTAACAAATCAGTGAGCCCACTGAGAAAATGACATAAATTTCAAGAATTTGTACTGGAATTCATAGATGATTATGATGAAGGAAACCAGAGCAATGGGGAGTAGAAGTGGTGAGGGAGTTCCTACATGAATTGTATCCATCACATGAGAGGTTCCTGCTCACTCTGGATGTAGTGTGTAACTCCTCGTGGCCTTGCTCAAATCGTATCTTGGAACATGTGTCTTAGATCAGCGTCTGCACTGGGCCAACGCACATTGCTTCCAGCAGCTCCGAGTAGAGGCAGAGAAAATAAATACTTGCCACAAAAGACTGCAGCTATGTCCTCAGAAGGTTTTTTTTTCTTTCTCTTCCACCAAGGCTGTACTAACCCTGGTAACAGCCAAGTCCAGAAGACACAGAGCTGAGATAACATTGTGTGAGCAGCCTTTCTCCTTTGCCACTCTTTTCTGTCTCAAGGAGAGAAGTGGCATCTTCTCTGGGCTCCTTTTCCAATTTCCCAAAATCTTCCTTATCCACAACAACGTGTCCGGGATCAGCCTTTGCAGTCTCCTGCCACGTGATCTTTCTTTTCAGCCGAGATTTCTTGCAAAATGCCAAAACGCAATACGAAAAATTATTTTTAAGACCCACGCTGATGAGGGAAGGGTGCAGAAGAGAGCTCAGGAACACCTGTGAGGTTGTCCTCTCCATCCCCTCACCTGGGGGAACAAAAGCTCAGCATCCCGCATTACCATAGCACCAATAGCCGCAAATAAACGGCTCTCGTAAGAAAAGAACAGATGTGACAAAGATTGTTCCAGGGTATATAGCAGACCACAGCCAAAGCAGAAGAGTCTAAATGCGCTGGGCTGGGATGGCAAGGGAAGTCACAACTGGGTTCCATCTAGGGGGAATTATTCTTACACTCAATTCATCAATCTATGGGCAAGCAATTCCACGGGCAAGGCTGACTTGATTAAACAGAGCCGTAATGACAGTGAGTGTAGGGAAGCATCCAGCCAAGTATGCAAACTAGCCTTCTTAGCCTAGAATAAAAGCTTCCTAACCAATAATTTCATGCTTTTATCTATACGATCATTAATACAGATACCAAACAATGCCAGCTCGACGTGGTGTCAAAGGCTCTGACAACCTCTAATTGATAATAAATAATTCAATTTCTACCCCAATCCAAAACTGCTGAATCTTGGGACACGTTCCAAATAAATGATTAAAAAGAACTTTGAATGTAATTATATCTAACACAATTGGGGATATTGCCCAGATGAAATTTACAGCAACTATTCAGAGCTACAAAATTTCAATGGCACTGGCAACTCTTTATGCCTACCAGAAAATGAAATGTTCTTTACCCAGGCGATGGCATAGACTGCATGTTTTATCTGACAGCTGTATGCCAGCAACTCACCCAGGCCAACCATGCTTCCCACAGAGGTGCAGTCTTTCCCAAAGACACCCAACAGAATTGGGAGCATGGTTTTACAACAAACTGATTTTGTTGTTGTTGTTCTGTACATGCAAAACTTGGTCTTTTTTGTTTTGTTTTGTTTTGTTTTTCTGCTGCAGCTGATTCTTCTCCTCCTCCCAAGCTGTTTATGTTACACTTAATGAAAGTTTATTTAGAAATTATCAGCCATAGTTCCTGGAATGAAACTAATGCAATACATTTCAGCAAGAAAAGTGCCTATCAGCACAAGCCTGAAGTGACGAATGCAGCATCTGAGGCACACCAATTGTTCACAGCAATTCCCAAACTCCAAAGCCAGAAGGAACTCTAAACACTTATTAGTGAAGACATAGGACAAGTATTTGCAAGGGCATCCTTATTCAAGATTTGATTCTTATTTTTCTCTTAGCAAATCACTTGCTGAAATCTCCGTTTCTGATCTGTAAAACAGGAATGATGGCATTCAGCTTGATTTCCTTGGATACAAATTGTCGTGAATGCCCAATTATTCCCGTGAGAATGCTGTATTTAACCGACCTGAAGAAGTGGTGATGCTTAAGGACCTTTTAGAACTGCAGCAGATATTTTCATGAGCTCATATGGAAACAGGAGAAATGCAGAGGGCTCACATGCCTTGTTGAACCTGTCCCATTTCTTCATGTGCAGTCCTTTCAGGAAAATTCAGCCTCGGTGCCACTAAAATCCCTACACTCACAGGCAGGGCAGATATAGCATGGGTGTGAAGACGTGCAAACAGACCTGTGTCGCCTATCTGAACTCCAATCGTTTCCTGAACCTACTTGGGTGTATTTCTCAGTCCTTTACATCTTACTATTTGTGAATACAGAAAGGGGCAGAAGGAAACACCAGCTCTGCATCCTTCACAACAGGCTGTTCTGGTCTCCTGGTGTTTACCTGGCAGAGACAGCAGCCAGCCTGGAGCAAAGAGATCACCTGCAACGTCTGCAGGATCATGAGAACATCTGACAAAAGAAAATAGCTCCGTAATTTGGTGAACTTCACAACTGCCATGATCAGGTGAGCCAGGCTTGTTTCTTCAAGAAAAAGAAACACGAGGGAGGAAGGGTCGTGAGCACTCAGAAATGTGTCTAGTCCTGCATTATCCAGAGCTGCACTGTGTGACCCATATCACATAGGTATTAAACACAGTTTGCTACTCTCCAGCAGGTTGAAAGCTACCACTGTGTTCTGAACAATTTCAGATATGGGCCAGTTAGGCACCTTCATTTGTGTATTTATATAACAGAAAGAGGAATTTATAACAATTTTTAACAGCTGGTTATGTTAAACAGGAGACACAGTCCTAGGTTTTAAGATCTCTTAAACATATTACACCTGAAGCAAGAATGTAGTCCTACTGAAATCGGTGATTTACTGGCCTCTGTGGCACCAGCTCGTGTGCTGAGGTCAGAGCTGGAGCCTTGCTTCATGCTGGATATTCATCTGCCTCGCCTACCGGAGGAAATTCCCTCACAGGTGAGAAACCCAAATGACTCCCCTTTATACATCTTCTTACACCAGACACTTTCTCTGAAGTATCTACCACTAGCTCCTGTAACAAAGAAAACATTATGTAAACCTACACTTCAATCCAGCCGTAACAAGCTAATAAGAAGGATGGAACTTTACCAGTTTCCTTTAAAAAGGGAAGAAAACTTTAAAACTACTATGAAAACCTAACATTTTAAATGACTGGATCTTTTTTTTTTCACAACAATATTCACCAAAAGTTGTAAGTTGTTACCTAAATTCCATAAAATGATATATATAAAATATAAAAGTTATATAAAAGGGAGAACAGATAACAGAATTAAATATCAGTAAATATAAGGATGCTTTGAATCTCCATTGTATGAACTATCCTGGGTGAGGTCAATGAAATTTTTCTGGAAGCCCAGAATAATGGAATAGCAGAATCTGTCACCAAAATACTGGATTGTTGGAAAACAGCCTGAAAATTGGTTGTGCTGTGTCCCTGTAGCATTTTCACTGCTGGGCCACAGGTACAGACTGTTTCTTCCAAGGTAACTTATCATTTATAGTGTGGTTAAGTCATAGATCAATAGTAAACGTTTTCCATACACTTTTTTATATGAAGTTCAGTAAAGGAGAGTTTGCAGCATTCATTCAACAAGTGCCCATGGCAGAGTCCTTTCTGAAAGATGAGAAGCCAGTGGCAATGACAGAGAAATCAAGTTAATACCCTGATTTCTCATTCCATGTCTAGAGTAAAGGGGCACAAGATGATGTAGAAGAGCCATATGCATCACCTCCAGAAAACGTGGCAACACACCCCTGCCAGCAGCTCTTCTGCTGAACAGAAGGGGCAGCACAGGGAGACTTGATCTAATATGTGTTAAAAATAATTTCTCTAATAAAAAAAAAATCTCAAAAGCAAACGAGAAGGAAAGCAAGTCAGAGCTCTATGAAGAATCAGAAATGGGAAAGAGCAAAGCAGGAATGTGGAAAGATGAATTAAAAAGATGGCTTCACCTCCTTTACATGTCACCAAGTGTTTTGCCTTGTCAGCTGCAAACATCTGTAGTTTCCCCACAGGTGCATAAGATGGGAGGAGGCTGGGTCTGTAGCTCCAGCCGTGCTCCCAGGGCTGGGCAGCTGGTTCCAGCCTTCCTGAACAGGCACAGGGCAAGCGCTGCTGAGGTGAACCCAGTTTAATAGGTTGCTACTTACAGGCTTAGGCTGATTTACAGGTGTTTGCCCTGAAATATGACCATCCATGTTATCACTGTTAATCCTCTCCCTAACAAGCCTCCTCCTCCTCTGAAATCCTCCCACTTCGATAGCTGGCTATTTTTGGAGGAGAAAACCACATGCATGCCAAAAAGCAACAGCTCTAAACCTCCTCCCACAAAGGGCAGCCTGGCTATCACACACCCGACAGGTTCTCTGCGCAGCACCGCACCTGACCCTGGGCTGCCTCTGACAGGGCAGGCATCAGCCGTCTGCATGTGACAGTAATAACAGGGGTGTCACAGGCAGAGCACACACAGACCTCGCGTCCTCCTCCTTTGCAGCCTGGTAGGAAGCCTCCTGTCGGTAACGCAAGGCCTACGAAGCACAGCTGAGCGGCTCCTGTTGTGTCCCGGGGAGCAGTATTTTCCATCTTTCTCAGCTGAAGACTTCTCTTCTGCTTGCTCTCTCATGCCCGTGACTGTTTCCACAGCTGAGTTTCCATCCAGCTTGGATCCCAGCTTGAGACCCAGCCGGATGGAGGGAAGTGCAGCGTCCAGTGGCCGGAGCACCGTGAGGCTCTGTACCCGGTGCATCAGCTTCTATTCCCTGCTCATACTGCTCCAGTACTGTGGTAATGATTTGCAGACAAACAGGAGAACAAGGTCCACAGTCTATGTAATCTAAACAAAAAAAAATATCTTATGATTGAAAGTAAATTTACAGAAGTAGATAACCTTTTTTGCCTTAATAAATACATCATGTAGGTTCTGACTGCGCTGCATTCATCTGTCTCTTAGCTTAGCGACTGCTGTGTTTGGCATCTAGAAATCTACCCCTCACAGCAAAATACAGCTCCTAGGAGCCCAAATCCCCATCAAGTCTCACATACCAAGCGTAAGTCTCAGTATTCTGGCTGCTGCACTGAACTCCATACCCACAGAGCTCCCATTTTAGCCATTTTGAAGCATGGCCTCTCTCTCTCTTGCTTTGGAATTTTCACATGTATGATGGGTCATACTTCATACAGGTCACGGTGAGCTCCACAGCTCTGCCAGGATCCTGGGCACGCTGCGGATGCCTTATCAGGGAACCACACCCAGGAAAAGTGCTGCTAGAAGGCACCAGCCTAGTGCTGGGGGCCTTTTCTCATCACACTGATCAACACATCCACCTGGTGGGAAGCAAACACAACCTATTACAGAGCCCAGATGAAGATTCTGGGCATCAGGATCTCAGTCGGCTCAGCCTATTCCATAACTCAGAGACTCAGATGCATAAGCACAAGCCTCCTGTTATTTAACCCTGAAGAATTCCAGGAAGGTCCTAGAAATGCTTATGGACTTTCCAAGCAGCCAAGCAAAAAACAGTCATGAAGCCAAACTACACAGCTTAGAGATAAAACCGGAGAACAGTCAGCAGGGAATGTGAGCTTCATATCCAAAACAGCAGAGAAAATTCTCTGTACTGCTAAAAATAAGTCACATTGGAGCTCAGGACACTGCAGGCACAATCCTGTCCAGGATTTCCCACTTCTTTTCAGTACTACGGAGCCAATCCCTCCAGTAAAAGCTGACAGCAGCTCTAAGTGCTGATGGTGCAGGGATCCCATTCCCTGCAGCACAAGGGACTCCTCGTATGCTTCAGGTTTCATCTTCACCTCTCCTATTCCTGGCTTTAAGAGAACAACAATATTTGGAAGTATCTGGGTGCGTGCCAACACACCACAGTCTGCCCTTCAGTTTCTCTGGATGCTACCACTCCATAAAAATTTTCCCTGGGACAGACAGCAGCATTTTTGTATTTTTACCCTGTTCTGTTTTCCCAAGGGCTTCCTCCTTCTGTCCCCTCCTGGCTTTTTCTGATACATCCTGCTTCTGTTGTTCCCTTGCTATGTGTGCAGTTCTCTGTCTATTCTTGCTCCTTTTTGCTCCAGCTCTGCACAGCAGTTACTTGTTAGTTACTTAAAATCCCAATAATTTAGGTCAAAAAGCCTGATGAATCTGATGTGGCTTGTTTCACATACAAAGAGTGAAATTGAAAACCACCTTATTCTTCTCAACTGAAATGCTGCATCCCTATTAATTCAGGTGTATAAATAACACTGTAATGCTGCATCAAGGGCTCTGCTGTGTGATTAAACCTGCTTCTCTGACCTGTAATTAGAAACTTTGCCTCTGAAAGGCAGTTTGCAGAGAAAAAAAAAGGAGAAAAGGAGAAGGAACCAGCTCTCAGACCCAACAATTTTGTACTTAATAAATTATTCAGAGTTTTTGAAAGTTGAGCTGGATTTCCATCTGCTAGCATTAAAGACCCAAATGGAAGAAAAATTGAAGGATTCTCACTGCAGAACACACCATTACAGGGCATGGGGCTGGAAATAAGAAGCCAGCTGAGAAGTTCTCGGTGTCCTCTTTCTGTCCCTGTTCAGCTGCTGCATTTGCACCCCCGTACATCTGACAGGTCCTGGAGTAACACAGAGTGATCATCCAGCAGAGTCCCACTGAATCACAGACATGGTTTTGGGATATAACATTAGAAGAAAACTCCCAAATTCAGTGACTGCTTTGTTAGTGTCAGCAGAGGCAGACAATAAACACACAAAAGATGGTGATGGTCATGAGTAGAAAAACAATATAGATTTGCATGGTCACAAGTAATATATAGCATTTTCAAGACAAGTAATCTAAAGATGAATTCATTAATGACCTTTTCACACTGATCGCTTGCCCCAGGGCCAGTCAGGCAGTACAGACTATTGTACTATTAATGACTGTAGTCACTGTTAGTTGCAGTCCCAAGGGTACACCTGATGTAAGGTGAATTTCTCCCTTGGAAGCGGGGAGATGGCAATGTCTTTTTGTCCTGTAGTCTTAGTACGAAAAACTAATTCATTCATTAGCTAATAGATTAATTTTAACAACAACAGACTGAACAAAATATTCCAATTGCTATAAAGGATATTACCAATCTCTCCTCTTTCCATAAACATGGGATAGAACAAGCTTTAGACCACTCGGTAACACGAGAACTGACCCCAGGACAAGCGGTCTCTGGCCTTGGGTATTTGGCAGCTGTTTCCACAGTGCTGCTTGATTTCAGATCAGAGATTTTGTGGTGAATTCCTCCGCTGGTTACACCTATAATCTTTGTGTTGAGGGTGTGACTGACATCCCGGTTTCATTCCTCTTTGTTTTCAGGTTGAAGTTTGCAAGGCCTCACACTGGGAGAACGTAGAGTCTGATAGTTTTGTGTATAATTATCTTTCTGTAGGAACCTCTTAAGGTTGATCTGGAGTTTCAGGGAAGCCTTCTAAATGGAGATACTATGTTTAATTTACATAGTATTTACATATCAAAGATCCTTTGGTCAAAATACCAGAAATCACTAAATTCTGGATTACTTTCTGTCTTCTCCTGTGGTTTAGACATGCACAGTTTTAACACAAAGAACATGTTAAATCTACCAAAATATTACATTGCCACCGGTGAAAATGTCTTTGTCCCAGGTTGCCCAAGTTTGTACTCGTATGCGGTGCAGAGCCATGGAGATCATGCCCCTGGTATGAGGGTGCTGGACTGCATGAAACAAAGGAGCCCTTCAAATTCAATAACAAGAACTTTAAGTAATCTTTTGTGTTTGTAATATGTTAGAGTCCAAGTTTATCACAGAGCTGCCAGAATATAAATCTGATATAAAGTACTTTGGATTAGATAGTGCAGTGGAAAGAGCTTTACTGGGATATTGTGACAAGTTTTATGAACTTCTTAAAGAAAAAGAACTCAGAAATACCAGCAGTGTTGTTAAGTTATTGCTTTGTGAGCTTGAACACCCAGAACTAAGAAGGAAAGAAGGAAAACTAAGAACTGCATAAAACAGAGCAGTACTTGAAGCACATTAAGCTCGTTTGTTTTTAAATCAGCATTTTAAGTCAGTACATAAAGCTGAGTCCTGTGAACCCTCCTGTGAACCCAGCACACTCTACCTTCCTCAAGTGCAGCCTTGGGTTATCCTCTTCCCCATTTTTAAAAATCCTCAGAATGAGTCCAGTATCACCCCACTATTTCCTCCAAGGGCCTCCCTCATCTCCTAACACTGGTGTGAGGCATAAGCCACACTCCCCCACCTCACAAACACCTCACGTGCCACTTTCCAAATCCCTCTCTCAGCCTCCTTCTCTAATGCCCGGGGCATGCGTGTGCATGGGTGGCTGTGATGCCAACATTTTCCCCCTCAGGAATCCTCTTCCCACTCTCCTCTTGGGGAATTCCTCATTCTCTCCTACAACAGCAACTCAATGTCCCATCTACCTCCTTTTGCTGAGTAAAAGGGTTCTCTAAACATCAGTCAGACCTACACTGCTGCTGCAGCAGAGTACCTGCAACTCCCTCACACTAGGATCGCTGGATGTCCATCATTCCTTTTCCTCCTAATTTTGGATCTTTATTCTCCTCCAATTCTGTCAGGATTCCAGGTGCTACACTGAAAATTTACCTTAAAAATAAAATAAAAATCGTTTTGTTTTTATTATATTCCAGTGACTCTGAAGACCATCACCTCTGTCCCTCAGTACAAATATTTTTCTAGCTTCCAGAAGGCAAAGAGGATTCTGAAAATCGAGGTGGATTTCTATGCATCAGCTGAATCAGAAGGTGCCACTTCTTCATAGCAGCTTTGCAAATGTGATTGAAGCCTGAAGCACAATGCTGTGCTCCATGGGACATATCTGACCCACACGCTGCCTTTTCAACTCCCTGCATTTTCTAAATCATGTACATTATGAGTGAATAGGAAGAAAATGTGTAAACAGGAACAGAAAAGGTCACTGAGAGTTCATTAATTCTGATCACTTAATAAGCTGTAAATTGAAGTGCATGAATTCCATTCTCTAAACACCAGGATAAATTTGAAGAATCTCTATTGACTTAATTTACCCTGATATGCATTAGAATAGTTTCTGGTGCATTCAGAATCAAAATAATTATTACAGCAACATTCAAGACCAGAAGGTACCTAGTTCCCATTTAATAACTAAATGAAGGACAGACTTAAAAAAGCATCGAGCCTACCACATTTAGAAAATAAATAAATGAAGAATTCTCGTTTAAAGGCAGTGCAGAGGCATGGCCCTAGCGCCCAGCCACGCTCGGGTTGCAGGCCTGGCCTGAAGAAGCAGGCTGATACTTTGCACCTAATCAATGAGAACACCGTGCTGTGCAGGGAAGTATGGCTACTGCCTTCCAGATCTGCTTCTTACAGAAGGAAAAGATGAACTGTGGACAAGGAGACAGAACTATTTGGATATGGACTAAATGGCAGACAAATATTCAGTGGTACTTATACATTTCAAAGCTCCTTTGCTTAGAGGACCCCTTTTAGGTTGTAGGGAATCAGATGGAGATTTTCCTACTCAAAGACAATGATTGCTTTGGAATTCTTTTCTCTCTGGTTAGGATGCTGTCCATAAAATCTGACATTGCTTTTCTTGGAATACAAAACATTTGCCCCCTTCCAGAGACCAAAATGAATCCCTAACTTTTTCATCAGCACTAAGTTTCAGAAAGAACAATAGAAGAGGACGTCATGATGGAAGAAGGAACCTGAGAAGTTCTGGAGAAATACAAATCACTGGAGCTGCTCAGTCACAATACCATGAAGTTTTCTGGGTCTTCTGCAAGAAAGTAGCCCTGAAGTGATGCCCTTAAAACACGCAACCATGACTGCAACAGGATCAAGCGAAATGTCTAGAGGGCTCCTCCTGCCGGCTGTTTTCTTAGTAGTCCAAGCCCTTGGCAATAGTGATTTTCGGTTTGTCTTTAGGAAGCTGGAAATCAAGGGAGGCAAACTAATGCAACGCCTCTCTTATTTGTCATAGCAATAAAACCGGCATGATCCCACCATGCCTCTTGTACTGCTGCCCACTTGCCCTGGCTTTTCAGAGATGCTGTGCCTGATGTCAGCGTGGGGAGCAGGGCAGCATAGCAGCTGCGGAGAGCTCGGGCAGCACAAGGAGCAAAGATGAGCTTGGGTGACTGTGACAGCAGGGCAGGCAGGGACAGGGACCTCAGTGAGCACAGGCGCAGGGCCACAGTGCCTGAGCAGGAAGAATGGAGCAGGCCTGGTCACGGTAACCAAGCTTAGCTGGGAGCCCAGTGCCCATCAAACACTCCTGGAGGTCCGAGGCCAAGCCAGAAAGTCAAGTCAGGGGCAGCAAGGGCCACACACAAACACACCTACAGCCTACCCCAGACAAGGACAGCTCTGTGCTGCAGCTCCCAGGGGAAGCGGGGAGGCCCCAGCAGGCTTCTCACAGCACTCGGGTCCCAGGCTACACCGCACCGGATCAGGGCAGCCCTCCAACACGGGCAGCCAGACCTGTAGGACAGGGGGAAGAGGTTGCAGAGTTAGTTGGCAAATGCAGAGCACAGCACAGTCAGCAAAGAACACAAAAATTATCTGAAGTGCTGACAGAAGAACCTGGGTACAAACGTGCCATAAGCGTTGGCAGTGTGAGAGGCTGACAATACTTAAGATGTATCAGGGTCTGGTCAGGACTGACATTTGTAGGACACTGTATGTATGGTTTTGTTTTCCTAGTCCACTGGGAAACACTTCTTTCAAAGCCAGAATAATTTTAAAATTGCCACTGGGGTATAATGACAAAGTCCCTCCAAGTTTTTCACTTATAACTTAAAAAACAAACAAATGTAAACTAATCCTGCCTTCCCGTGAAAAACCCACCCACACCAAATACCAAATACTCCCCTTTGACATATGAATGTTCATCGTTTTGGCCAATCTATGCACCAAAAGAAGGCAGATGAGACACACTGGCACCCCTTTTCCTGCCTCCTCACTGGTGACATATGCCATAACCCTGCACTGACCAGACAGATCTCACAGGTACATGCGTCAGTCCAAACTCCCAACCCTGCCTGCACGAGGAGGCAAAACATCCTGAGGCTACAAAGCTCAAGTGGCAGGTGAGAACTATCTTCAAAAAATGAGCTTGTCAAGTCAACAGGGGGAAGAATAACCCTTTGGAAAAGGTTGACTGTGATTATCTTATTGAGTTACAACAGGAAAAATCAAAGGCAGACACAGAGGGGAAGGGAAACAATGTGGGGTGAGTATCCCAGTAGTGTTCCCAGCTGGACTGACACTGATACACTGCCTAGATAAAGCTAGCCAGCCCTGCAAAAACCGTGTGGCTAAAGCAGAGAGCAATGGTCTACTGGAAAAAGAACATTTTTTATCAATATTGATAAAAAGCATCTATAGAATATGAGAGCTATTTTGGAAAAAAGTCACATACACAACAAGGACCTGTAATTCTGCTAAGCTGGCCGGGGATATATTTTGTCTCCTTCTGTATAGAGTACTGAATGTATACAGGACTGTTAATAAACGTGATTCCTCTGCCAAGCAATTGTATTTCTGTACGTTATATTTCCAGTGTGAAAACTCTAATGAAACATTTTAAACCAAAGCCGTTTCCTTGGAGCTGCCTCTGACCTTCTTTTCCTCCTCTCTCCGCCAAATCTCCCTGCTAGGCTGAATTCAGACCTAATGTCTGCTCCTCCCACCAGGCTTTTGGATATGTGACAATATCCTAGTCACTGGGAGCTGCGCCTGCTGGTGTCCATTGTCTTGTGTCCAGTTTGGGAGAGCGCTTTTAAGGAAAAGCCCAGAATGAAATTTATGAAGAGTACAATGATTTACAGGAACGGCCAACTATGCAGCTAGTTTCTGCACGCATCTAACAGCGGCTTGTGAATTTTTGGCAATTAGTTCACAAGGTTGCAGCATGGGAATGGTTTAAGGCTGACGAACAGACTTTTGAAAGTTTAAAACAATCTGAAATCCCAAAACTCTGCAGTCCTGGGGAGCAGCTAGAGCTGTGGTAGGATACTGGGGGGAAGGGTGTGTGTGTGTGTGGAGTCGCCTAAAACCCACCTCACTGGAGCCTGTTCTGTTCACTGGCAGAGCCCTGACAGAACAAAAAGGGGATCTGCACGGACAAGAGGAGCTGCTGGCTGCGCGCTGCGGAATGCGTCGGTTCAGCCGTGGGCACGGTGTGGATGTGCCTCCTGATCACAGCCACTGCTGCCTGCAGCCAAGCAACTACATCACGTTACTGAGGCCCCAGAGCAAGGAGAGGAGATAAGGCAGCCTCCAAGAAGGCCAATCCCTGTAACCTGCTGCCCAGGGTGGGATGGGAGGGGGCTGTGGAACAGGGAACCGAGACCCTCAGCCAGGCACAGCCAAGTGCTGCTGATGCGAGGCCCTGTGGTGCTCACAGCACGGCAGGGTGTTAGCTGCAGGACAGCGATGTGCCTTCTCCAGGGTCAGTTATAATCTGTGGGGCATTATATGCCCGTACCCCACAGCGTTACCTGTGTTACCTTCTGTGATGGCACACATACAGCCTGCCCTGTATAGCTCAGGTACACAAACACAGACCTTGGTACCAAGTCAAACTGCCTTCACTACAAACATTTACCGCAGTCACACTGCAAATAGGATGCCAAAACCTTTACAGATATGTATCCCACATGAAATCAGTACCTTACTTAACAAACGTTTTCATTCCAAGACCAGCTACCTGACAGGAATTCACAACTAGCCCTGAGCTACAAACTCTGTGAACTTTCCTTCTTCTGCCCCCTCTCCCCCCTTCCACCAGAGTTCTGCAATTTGCCAGCCTCCCTTTATGTCTCAGTTAGGCCCTCACAATGCGAGGCAGGCAGACCCATGTGCCCACAAACAGAAGAGCTCCTCCAGCTCACAATAACTCAGCAGGTTTCTGTGATTTTCAGAGGCTGCATTACTGTGTGCCCATGTCTGCTGTCAAATTACTGCCTGGACACAGGCTCCATGGCTAACCTCAGCCTTACCCCAAACACAAAACCGTCCCCACGCCCTCAGAAACATTCATCTTCTCTTTCAGCTCTTCTTACGAAGCAGTGTAAACCTGGCTGATGTTTCTAGGAAATAAAGAGCATGCTTACCCCTCCGAAGACTTATTACGGTTTTATGTCCTTTTTCTGCAACCTACTGAGAGTGGCCGTGCTCCGTATCATGAAGTTTAAACACATCAAAACAGATTTGAAGGGTGGACGGTCCTCCTGAAGGTTTCTAAAGGAAAACGGAGATAAAAGCCATAAAAAACAATCCTTCACACATAGCAGAGGTTGAAAAATCAAATCTAAACTTAAGTTCATTTTTCCCTGTAGTGCAAGTCCCATGACTCTGCTAACTCTTATGTGCCTGCCATGGCCCTGGCCGTAGCCTTACAGCAGTGAGGAAAATCCCAGAGCACAGCTACTGCAACTTCAGCCACCTTCCCCTAAAACCCCCACCCTGCCCAACCCTACAATCACAGAGTGCTGTGCTGAGAGCTCCTGCAAGGGAAACAGTTGTTGCTGCGTCCTGCCTTGTTTTAAATACCTGCATGTAGAAAAGATGGCAGAGATTGTACATACACCTTAACTGAGGCAGGATTTTCTCAAGTCCAAGGTGGCACTGCTGTAATTGCTGTTGTCTGTTTCGACCTTCTCCTCGAGGTGTCTCCACCTCCCATCACAATGTCACAGCAAAACAAGTCCCACGGTGGTCTGCAAAGCAGCAAAAGGAGCAAATGGCACGACAGAACTGACATTGTTTATCCTGCATAAAGTTAACTCTAAATCAACAATTTGGAGAAAATAGCGTTGTTGCATAAGAAAGTAGACAAAAGCAGTTATTTGACAGACTCTGTCACTTAATAGCAACACTTTGCATATATAAAGCACTCTGCACCCTGAATCCTCAAAATGCCTTAGCAAAAAAAAGAACATACAACTATTCTTCAGTGCTTTACAGGAATAGCGAAGCATGAGGCATTCACAGGACTTGGCAAAGTGAAAACTGACCATCAGAAAGAAGAATAGAATCGGGGCTTTTTAGTCCCTATTACTCACTGATGTGCATTATTTTCAGGCAGCTCTTGGTTTTAGTCATTTTACTGCAGGTTGGATAAGAAGGAGCACTAAATCAGAGAGAAATGTGCGTTCTACATCTTAAAACAAGATTTTCCGAGTGGAACAGCAATAAAGATACCCTGCAGCCTTAGGTTTTCTCTGCAGCCATAAAGCCTGCATCCTCTTGGCTGTGCTGGTAGCCAGGTTAACCCCCAATCCATATTCTATGCCTAGCGCATGCTGCGGGAGGCAAAGCTAACAAAGGCTATGACAGAACTCCATCAGGGAAGTCCTTTTGGGCCCCATTTCCATCAGCTCATAAAAGGGACAGCCTGGACCCACATGCTGGGCTCTGCTAAGGCTGCTCCAGGCTGCAGCTCTTCATTTGCAAAAGAAATGACCCATTCATTTCTCTCTGACCTCTGCAGACACTTCAGACTGCTGACCTCATCTGCTGATGGCCCCCACCGCTGCTGCGAGCTTCCTCAAACAGGTGCTCCCAGAATAAAACCTCAGCCTTCCTGGGCAAGCTGAACTCACCAGCTTCAAGAATCCTGCACCAGGGCTCCTGAAGGGGCTGCTTGTGCACAGGCTGGGAACCAAGAGCCCTCAAAGCATTTATTTCCTATCCAGAAAAGAAACAGCCCTGTGAAAACGAAATACAGATGAGAGGATGTAATTTCAACTGAGTAAAATTAGGTTAAAAAAACATACACCTGCTTGTGGGCACCTGTGCACTGGGCAACACAGTGAATCTCTTCTCTGCAGCTGCTGGTACACCTCGTACTGGTGTGTTCTCTACAGGCAGGTCCTGTGGCTCCTGCAGAGGACTGAGTGGCTCATGGCTGGGGTATTCTTGCCTCTGGAGCAGATTTCCAGGCTCGATTTTGTGTTGTGTTGAAGGATGAACGGTGACAGTGATACCTCAGCAGGGGAATCTACATGTCTGTATTGCATTCCAAGAAAAAAAAAAAAAAAACATCTCTTCAGACTGCTCATCACCCATGTTTATGTTTGTATTCACAGCTTTAAAACCAAGAGCATCACAGTCCACACTGACTTCTGTTCTCCCATTCTGGAGAGAAGATGATGCCACTCACAGCTGGGACAGGGTAAGCGGGCACGTACATGGGCTTGTCAAAGGCCACAAAGGCATTCTGTGGCTGAACCGCAAGCTCAGAGTTGTTTTTGAGTCCAACTACAGAGCCCTGTTCACTGCATTAATCTTTACACAACAACAGTTTTCGGCTTTGCAGAGCACATGAAGCTTTCAGGTATGTCTGCAAGAATGCTGAGGTACTCGGACGGCGTCCCAGCTGTACACAGCACAGACTAAGAGCAGTGGTACAGTAATGAAGCAAACTAGCTCAGCTCTTCCACTGGCCTCCAAAGAACACCCAATTATCAGAACGAACTGAGACATCTTCAATAAAGAAACTGGCTTGGGAGCTGATCAGTTTGTTGCTATTGCCATAAACACAGCGGCTCTGCTACTGGCAGGAGAGGCCTGTGAATCAGGGCCCGAAGTCTGATGCGAGAGAAATTGGGTGTCTCAAGCTGCTTTCCCCAGCAGAGAACAACCCTATTAGTTTGAGAAAGTCCCCTGCCTGCTTTCTCTCTGAGTAATTAAGAGAGAAATCCTCCTCTCAGTGACCCCAATGCTCTCAGCCGAGGCTGATTTACACATGAAAGGCACCCTCTGAGGGGCTTTCTCCCTTTCACATTCACAACCAGGCAGGACCTATAAATAAAACCTTGCTGAAAACAGGAGCTTTCAGAAAGGTCTGTGTATGTGCGTAAATGTATGTAGGAGAAAGGGACTGGATGTGTGCACTTGAGAATGCGTGTGTTTGCATGCGTATGTGAAGAGTGGGCGAGAGAAACGTGCACTCGCACCCCAGCCCACATGCAGACGAGGTGCACTTGGAGGAGCATCTGCACAGATGTGTGAGTGTGCACAGGTAGCAGGAGCACTGAGGGGCGTAGGGGGGACGTACAGGCAGGATTCCAGCTAGGGCAGATCCAGAGGACTTTCATCTGAGCCAGCTGAGTCACTCCAGGGTTACACATGAAAAAAACGAGAGCAGATTTAGACCCACTTGTGCTTGAGGGTATGCCTGTGATGCACTTTCCCTCTGTAGAGCAGCTGAGTACTTGCAGAAATTTCTACGTTGCTTTGGATACAATGCAGAAGGTAACAGAGACTCGAGCCTTGCAGCATGTGCTTCTATGTTTCTTTAACTAAACGTGAGATTTTTGAAAAGCTGCATCTTCTCAGCAGCCCGGGATAATTCTCCAGAGCTGTCACTACTAGAAAGTAAAAAAGTTTTTGTTTGTTTGTTTGTTTAATTATTATTTTATTTTTACAGTTTGTTGGTACACAATCTCCCTGAAAGACTGAAAAATAAACAAGGGGACTGCTGCCAGGAAAAAGGTCACGAAATCAAAGGCTGTGACTGCCTTTACATGAATGAAGAGTATAAACACCAAAATGCCCAGATTTGAATCCTCACTCTCTCCTCGCCATCCTGTTCACCCACGTGTCCACATAGCCAGGATATTTCCCTTTCCAGGAGGCCTGAGAAGGACCCTACACAGTTTCCAGGAAACTGGCGGTTAGTGTGACCCCTCCTAATACAAAACAGGTGACACACATCTCCGGGCCAAGCCGGAGCAGGCTGCAGGGTTTCACAAAGCAGGTATTGCGCTCCGAGTCTTTGCCCCGGTAAGAGGGGGCTTTTTAAGACGTGGCTACAATGTGATAATTTGAGAAGTGCGAACTATTTTACTCCTTAGTCCTTAACAGCCACATCATTTGCTTACTGATGTGTCCGTGCTCTGTGCTGAGGCCAGCAGCTGGGCTGTGCTCACAGGGCACCCAGGCCAGCACCGCTGGAGCTGCACCCGCTGCCTGGCAGGAGACCCAGATCAGTGTGCGGGGAGGGAGCCTGTGTCTGTGCGCCCTGCACCGTGCTGATCTCCTAATTACCACTTGCAGCCCTTGGATCTCTCCCCTACCCAATTCTTATGCAAAAATTTAGCAGAAGCAGGCAGAAAAAAAAAAAAAAAAAAAAAAAAAAAAAAAACACACACAAAGCAGGAGACAGCAGCGCAAAACCTCCCAGAAGCGCACAAAGCGCAGAACGTCTCTTCTGGCAGTTCAAAAAAACTTCCCCGCTACTTGCGCGAGGCAGAAGTGTGTGAGCAGGGATGCGGAGCTCCCCTCCTACTGAGCTCGCAGCTAAAGCCCTCCCCCAGTTCCCAGGGTCTTCAAATGAAGATTTGCATAGCACTTCCAGATCATTCCCGAGAGAAGGGACAATGGCTCTCTCAACGCCCTCTTCCCCCCCTCCCTCCTTCACTTACAAAGCTGATAAAGCCCTGGTGAAAAGGGGAACAAAGGATTTACAGATGGCAGAATATTGATTTCCGCAGTTCCAGGACTACAGGGGGAGGATGAAGAACCCCCCAGAAACTCTGTGAACTTTGAGACACGGGCACGATCTCTGCAGCACCAGCTCTGCGTTTGTTACGACGCTGCCCTGGTCGGTACCTGACGGAGGGCAAAGTGCTGCTCCCGAGGGGTGAGCTGGCCCCTGAAAATCTCCAAACACAGAGTGATGAGGTGACAGCCCGCAGTCCCAGCGAGCGCATTTGTTCCCAAACCTGCTAAGCAGAGAGGTGCTTCCAGTGAAAGCAGTTTGCCACCAGGCGGGCCAGCCCGGCATTGCTCCTGCCGATGGGATGGAAGGCTTCGGGAAATCACAGCTCAGCACCGCTTCATCCGTGCTCTCTGCTGCCTGCTATCCAGCTTTGCAACTAGGAAAATAAATGAATAAATAAATAAATAAGGCAAAAGACTTTTGAGAATGGGCTCTGATTGTGAAATAAAGTGAAAGCTATTGCAGAACTCACTTTTAGGACTGGTCTCTGAAAGCTAACGCTTCCTGCCTCCATAAGGATTTCCATGCTTAGAACAAGCCTAAACCTTGTGTTACAAACTTTTTTTTTTTTTTTTCTTTCAACTTGGTCAGTCAACTCCACCAGCTCTCTCCCTCAGTAAAGGCTGCAGAAAGCAGAGGCTGAGCCTGAGCAAGTCATTAGCTCAACTCATTCGTACTCCCTGATGTACTCTCAGCCTACTTTTAAGGTTATACCCAAGCTTGAATATATATTTCCCTGAAAACAAAACAAAACAAAACAAAACAAAACAAAAAAACATGCCATAAGTAATAAAACTATTTCTGCAGCAAAACACCATTGCATAAGCAGTTTTCTTTTTTTATAGCAAGACAGCCACCAGATGTGGGGGGGGGTCAAACCCACTGCGGAGCAGCCCTTATGTGGCACTTTCTGCCAGGCTCATGAAGGCTGGCATGGGACAGAAGTTTGGCCTGGGCCATACGGCGACCTCGTGCCCTGTGTGGAGTGGTGATCTGGTGTAAGGATGTCAGACTGGAGAAACAGGACTTAGCTCTTCCGTTACTGATTGTCTAGGTTGGACTCAGTGATCTTGGAAGTCTCTTCCAACCTAGATGATGGTGTGATTCTGTGAACACCAGCTCACTGCAATCATTCAGAGTTTTGCTGAAGTGGGCAGCGATACAATGCAGTGTCCCAGTCAGGCAGATGCTGCATGTCCAGCAGGAGGTGCTTAGCGGATATCCGAGGCAGGCTGTTCAAGATCCTGGCCTGATCTCCACCTACCCCACCACCACACTGAAAAAAAACTTTCTGAAAGTGACTGGCTCCCACCACTTTGATTCTCTCTCTATTTTAAGTAAATTGTGTAGCATTTCTGCACTCAGAGGGCTCCCAGTATTGGATTTAGGATCACATTTTTAAAGGCGACCAGCTAGTTTCTAAATCGAGTGATAGAGATCTGCTTTGGAAAGAAACTCAGTCTGCTCTGTAAGGCACCAGTGCCCACCAGTGAGTGCAAAGGGTGGTTTTCACACCATAGGTAACCAAAGGTAGCTACTGAGGCAGCAGCAGAGCTGGGTTCATTCACCAGTATTTTCCCCAAACCTCTGCATAAATCTATGCTGTCGTGATGAACAGAATCATCACAGTGATGATAATCATTGCACGCTGTACAGTTAAGAATATTTTATAAATGGTATCAAAACATTCCTCACAATTCTATTCTTAGAAGAGCTCGTTTCCTTCAAATACTTGTCTGGCTTCTGTCAGCTAGTAGAAAATATTCACATGGATTCTTTTGTGTATTTCAGCCGTCCCTCCCAACTTACGCTGCTTTTAAAGAAGAGTGAATCAGCCCCATTAGTCTCCTGGCATAGCTAATACAGAGATTAATCGCAGCGGTTGGGGTGATAAAGCCTGAGAAAATCCTGCTTTAAATAAGCCTGTAACGAAGCTGCCAGCACAGGCTGAGGACAGACCCGAGCCCCCTCTCCACGAGCCCCCTGGAGTTCCAGGAGCGGAGGCAGTGCTCACAGGAGCTGCTGGTGGCGCGGGGCAGCCTTGCTGTCAGCTGCCAGTGCGGAGGGAGCTGTCCCAGGGCATCCCCTTCCCTGAGGGGCACGTTCAGGGCTGCCAGAGGAGTAAAGGTGTTGGGGGATCAGGGAGAAGCACACCTTGGCTGCTCTCACCTCCTGCTGCCTTTGAGGCTATTGTAGCAGCACAGCTCTAAATCTTTATATTAGTGTTGCACTTTATGACTATTTCAGAGGCAGCAGCTTGCTACTTGTGTCACTACACCTTGGTTTACCGACTCCTTGGCTCTTAAATGACCACGCCAACAGCTTTGGAGGCATCAATGTCTGTTGCTTGCTCACAGGTGCTATAACAAAGGGCATTTCTCTTCACACAGTTCCCGCTACAGAACGTTGTGATTTGCTCTAAGGTTACAGGATTCATCCTGCTTTCAGCAGGTCAGGCTGCAGCCTTTTTCCCCTTACTTTTTCCCCTTCACACCCCTCATCTCCCTCGCCTCTGGCAGCGCCAGCCCCCGCTTCGTCCCCCCCTCAGCGCCAAGATGGCGCCGCCCCCTCCCCTCCCCTCAGCCGCGCTGCGCGAGCGCGATCACGTGACTCTCACTCCCCCCCCCCCCCCCAATCCCCGGGCTCACGCATGCGCAGCAGCCCGCCCGCAGTCCGCCGCAGCTCAAGGTCAGGCAGGCGGCGGAAGCGCAGCGCCCGGCCCGGGGCCCGCTTCCGGTTCCGGTCAGCGGAGGAGAAGGAAGATGGCGGCACTGGGGAGGGGGTCGCGGCTGCTGCGCGCCGCCCAGGCCCTGAGCTCGGCGCCGGGACGCGGCATGGCGGCGGGGGCACACGAGGCCGGGGGAGGTAACGGGGAGGGAACGGGGGCGGCGGGGAGAGGCCCGCGGGCGGGGGGTCGCTGCCCTTGGGAGGGGGCGCGGTGCCCCCGGGGCCGGGCCTGAGCCGCGCCGTGCCCGCAGCCCGGCTGTGGAGGACGCTGAGCTTCGTCGTGGCCCTGCCCGGCGTGGCCGTGTGCATGCTGAACTGCTACCTGAAGGCGCAGCACGAGAGCGAGCGGCCCGAGTTCGTCCCCTACACGCACCTCCGCATCAGGACCAAGGTACGGCCGCCCCTCTCGCACCTCCCCCCTGCCCCTCCTCCTCTTCCTCCTGCTCCTCGCCGAGAGCGCGGTGCCGCCCGAGCTGAGCGCAGCTCTTTGTCCTGCATCTCCTGAGGTGCTGTGTGCATAGCCACAGCCTGAGCTCGTGGCTGTCTCTGGCACAGCACGCTCCTTGCAGCTCAGGTGAGGGACCCGCTGTACCCACAGGTCTATCCCCAGCCCCAGATAATCCCACTAAGGCCTTGCTGATAAATATCAAGTCGTGGAGCTGCTCTGCTTGCCTCAGGCTAACGCAGAGCTGCATCCCCAAGTAATCCTGCTGAAAAATGTTAAGTCACGGAGCTGCTCTGCTTACTGATGCAGGCCTGTAGGCTAACAGAGGTGATCCCCAATTCTCAAAGTAGGGATCCTCGTGGTATGGTACAGTGGATTTATGTGTTTAAGTGACAGCTTTGACCTTGATATCTAAAGGCTTCCTGCTACTGGAGATTATTTGCTAGCTCCTGCTTTCTCCAGGCTGGTAGCAGTGCCACCTTGTTTGAGTCCATGTTTGCTGTTGAGGTCACAGTTCCTGTGCTGTGGCACATCCTTTGGTTATCTGTCAGGGCTTTGTTTTTCTTCTTCTTCCAACAGCCCTTCCCCTGGGGCGATGGGAACAAAACTCTATTCCACAACCCTCACGTTAACGCCCTCCCCACCGGTTATGAAGATGAACACTGAGATGCTGACCACAGCCAGGACTCTGGCTCTCCCTGTGTCTGGACCAGGCTGCTCTGTGGGAACCATCACTTAAGAAAAACCACATTCCTTCTACAGTCAAGTTGAATGGTGGTGCATGCTCCACCTGTACTTGTGTAGAGGTCCTTTAAATAAATGATTCCAAACTTGAATTCAGGATCTGACTCTTTTGTTATCCTGCGACTCCTCAGAAGTTCCATATTTTAGTGTTGAGGCTTCCCCACAGGACAGTGCAGGAGCAAGGGGTTGGACTGACCTCCTGCTAACACCTGCTCCTGCATCTGGTAACACTGACAGCAGTCATGCGTTCATCAGGAAGAACACAAAACGGAATAATCAGACATGACATTGAGTATTTTGTTTGGTTTAAATGAGCATTGTCATCCCACGCTCAGTATTAGCCTAATAACTTCATCTGTAGATAGAAATTGAGCATGTGCTGAGGCACATCCTGCATACTCAACTATTGGGGTATTCAAGAGACACGAAGGCAACTCTGTCTTACCCAGCCCCTCCTGAGATGGAATTCCAGCAAAGGTGTTTAACTTAAGCTCTGTGCGCCTGCACAGCATTTATCTTTAGCTCTCACATTCTCTGGTGTATCAGCACAGCTGCTGTTCATGCCCCTGCTTCTCATACAGCTGTAGGCTCCTTGTACAACGTTCTCATACAGATGCTGCGTACCGAAACGATTTTTGCTCCGTTGCATGTCTGTACTACAGACCATTGCCACTCAGAAGCTTTTTAGCTTCGCTAGTTCCAGTTTTCAAAGGGAACCTAGGAAATCATTATCTTCCATAGGTAACAATTCTAAGACCTCAGGTCTGTTCCAATACGATGTTAATTTTTAAGTTTTTCTTCTCCAACTCAACTGTTTCCCAGTTCCCCCCGTAGATTCTACATTCTTTTACACAGTAGGAAGACAAGAAGCTCTGTCTTTGCTGCTAGTACTGTTTTTTCCCCAAAGGAAGAACACAGCAGCTCTCAGCACCCCGCTGCTGGCAAGGGACAGGTATCAGGTGAGCCAGGGGGGTGAAATCCAGCGGGGGGTGCTGTAGGACTCCCTGCCCCATGCTGCAGTGCAAATTTCATCCAATTAGCAGAACACTAGTAAGATGACTTCAGACAAGCTTTTATATATTAAAATATAAAGAACAAGGCACAAATGGGTACAGTTATTTCAGAGCTAGCTGGCAAGATAACACCACATTTATTCCTACATGAAGGTTATAGAAAAGCAAAGTGGTTGGATGTATTATTCCTTAAAAAAAACACCACCACCTACTCGACAGACCCTAAAACGCTATTTGTGCTGCTCCTGGAGACGTCCCTTACCTTACCAACCAAAAGTTGGTTTTATTTACACCTGAGTGACCCAGCAGCAAGCGGTAACAGCTTATTTGGTACGTGCTCCGTTCAGCCCCGTACAGATTGCTCTGCCAGCTGTCTGATGCACCGTGAGCGAGTGTGGTTCACCTGGGCTGTGTGAGTGATGCTAAGGCCATCACTGAAGACACGGGGCACAATGTGTGTAGCCCCCGTGTGCTGTCATTTCTGGTCCGCACAAGTACCAGGCTGCTCTGTGGCTGCAGTAGTTACTCAGAAGCTGTGGTGCAGACAAGCCAGCTTTGGCTTGAGAACTCCATCTTTTTAATTAAAAAAAAAAAAAAGCCACTGAATGACCCTTCTAATAGTGCTTAAGAGCATGATACTCACTTTTTTCCTCACTGTTATTCTAGGACAATTAGGAAGTTCACTTCCCTGTTGTCCCCAGTCCAGAATATTTTGTACTCTCTTAGCTGTGTTGGTGCAGAGGGGACAGTTTGGCTGATCCCTGCCCCAGTGGCGCTCCACAGGCCACTGGATGAGGAGCGGTAGGTTCTGATCCCTTGCTTCTCTTCCGAACACCCTTCCTCAAGCTGCTGCAAGATCCACAGGAGTAAAGCTCTGCTGCTGAAATAGCTCAGGATGGACAGAGTATGAAACAGATTTGGAGAGGAAAAAGGTAATTCCTAATAACTCCTTCACAACTACAAGAGAAGTACCCACCAACCTTCTGCTGAGAAGCTTCCTTAACTCCTCCACTGCCAGTGAAAGGAAGAGGATTTCAGATACCTGATTTAGGAAAAACAAGTGCCCAATGCCCACTGTCAGGTTACACAGAGGGGTACCTGGCAAGTCAGCCGAGCATTTCAACCAGTCAGAAGTCACTCCTGCTACCTAACGAGTAACTTGCTCAGAGTTTCTGTAGTTTACAAGCCAGCTCTTTGCTAGGTGTATGTACACACCTAGTTACATGGTCCAAGGGCAGTTTCATGAGCAGGTGAGGTGTTCCCCAAGAGGCAGTACAGGCAGCTGGAGCTTTTAACATTTGTCAAGCTTCAATCAATGTTGCTCTCTTTTAAGACATATTTTAACTGCATCAAGCAAAAACCTAATAGGGACTGTGGCCAACTGGGTGCTTAGTGGTAGTGTGCAGAAAGATGGCCAGGTCTGTGCAGTTTCACTGCAAGGATATGTAACGCTACAGGGGAGAGAATTCAAGTTCAGGTTTGTTTCTGTACCTCAGAAAAGGCCAAAGAAAGCAGCCTCCAGGTTCAGTGTGTTCTCTTCAGCTTCTGTTGCAGGCCACCTCTGTCCCCGTTGGAGGTTATAACCAGATTCTACCAGACCCTTACACACTTGAACGAAGTATAACTGGGTTATATTTATTTTAGCTAAGTTATTGCAGGTCCAGCAAAAGTGCTTTTCTACCATCTCTGTTGCTGACACAAAACAATGCTTTAGCCCCTAAGCATTCAGGATCATATAAATCAAATTTCTTCCACCAAAATCCAGCACCACAGAGATGAGACAAAGGAAATTAACCTTCTTCACACTCTTTTTAGACACTTTCAAGTGTTATATAAATAAGCAAAAGAAAGGAGTCATAAACCAACTGCTAAGTTCAACATCCCAACAAGCATTCTCCCGTCACAGGGTACATTCAATGGGAAGTTAGTTAAACCGTCTGTTCACGCTGTTAGATGCTGAACCACCACCAAAATTCGTTCGAAAGGAGGCAGAAGTTACCACGTGATCCATTTTTTTCCTGTGGTAGTTTGCTTTTATAAGCTGAGCACATTCCTTGCTTCCTAAACACACAGGTCTTATCCGGGTGGTGTCCTGTCTGCTGTCTGGTCACCTTTCAGTCCCAAGGCTCACGTAGGCGACTCCATCCATACAGCTGAAGTCAAGAGGAGTTTTCAGTTTTCGCTTTGCTTGCGCCCATGAACTCCAAGCCTTCTATGGGTATGTCCTTCTCCTTGATTGCTTTCTGGAAAGAAGGAAAAGAAACAAACAAGTTAAATTTGAAATGTTTTCAGCGCTTTATACAGCACTTTACAGTGCTAAGCGATGTAGTATTTGGTACAAAACACGATCTGCAAGAAGCAGCCTTTAGACTGGCTGGGATGCCCTCCTAACTCCAGAAATGCCCCGACCCTGGCACGCAGCCGGCAGAAAAACAGAGAAAGGCACCGAGGGGACACCGAGGGCTGCTGCCACAGGGAGCAGGGAGGGGAAGGGGCAGGGGCAGGGGGCTGCCGTGCCATGGCCGCACCTGCACGCAGAGCTGGTAGCGCTTGAAGAGCTGCCCGCAGGGGTCCCCGCCGCTCTCTCCCTTGAGGAACTTCTCCGCGAACCAGCGGTTGAAGCACTGGTCGTACTCGCGCTTCAGCTCGGTGCACGCCTCGCCCACGCTGTTCATGGCGGCGGCGGCCTCCCCCCTTCCTTCCCCTTCCCCTTCCTCCTCCTCCTCCTCCTCCTCCCTCAGCGCTTCCGTCGCAGGCTCTGACGCGAGGCCCCGGGGCTCGATGCGGCCGTGCCGCTGCCTCAGCGCCGCGCTGGGCTGGGGGCGGCCGCGGGGCCCCCCGGTACCGGCACAGCGCCAGGAGCGGGCGGGCGGCCACCGGGGGGCCGGGGGCTCCGCTCCCGCCGTCCTCGGCCCCGCCGGAGGAGCCGGGCTGTCGCAGGGCCCGGTGAGCCTGGAGGTGCTGCGGCACCTGGAGCGCCTGGCGCTGGTGGATTTCCGCGACAGGGAGGGCGTGGAGAGGCTGCGGGGAGCCGTGCAGTTCGCCCAGCTGCTCCGCCAGGTCAACACGGAGGGCGTGGAGCCGATGGATTCGGTGCTAGAGGACAGGTAACGAGGCGCAGGGCCCGCTCCCGGCTGCTCAATGCCCAGCCTTGGCTTGTTTGCGTGGCTTGCGCTCTAGGAGTCACCCCCCGTGTGAGCTTGGCTCCTCTTACAGAAAGGCTTTATTGTGGTTTTGTGTGGCGTTGGCACCCATGATCCAAACATGTAAACACAGCAATGATGGACCCCCCCTTCCTGACTATATCTTATCACGAGTGACCCACACACACTGCTCCCCAGATACCGTTCTGTGGCGTTTATTGCCTCAGAACATCCCAAGCTTGCCTCCCTCCTTACCCTACACCAAAACCCAGCTTTAGAGATGCCCACTTCATACTCACAGAATGATGTAAAGACAAGCCAGCAACCTTTGTTCTCCAGGTCTCTGTACCTCAGAGAAGATGACGTTACAGAAGGCAACTGCAGAAAGGAGCTGCTGAATAATGCCAGAGAGAAAGTAGAGGAATATTTTGTAGCCCCACCAGGTATTGTCTTGTTTATAAAAAAAACTCTTAATCTTGCTTGAATTAATTTGACAAACATAAATTGCCATAGCTGACTTTACTTTCAGGAATATTAGCTAGTAATAATGAAGTACTAAAATAAGTAACTGCAGTCACCTGTTTAAAACACATTGACACCACCACCAAACCAGAAACAGATGCAGTCTGTTGGTCTAAAAGCAGTAGAGAGGCCAGTTGTACCTTAAAACTACTGCACACGTTGAGTTGTTTAAAAGAAGTTAGTTAGACAACTTTCTTACATTCTGCACTTGCTCAGGAAATTTTAGCTGCCTGTATGTACTCAGAATAAACTGGAGAGGCACGTTCATGTTGAGTTGTGCTGCCTAGAAGGTGACTTACAGCTGGTCTCACACAACTCTTTGTTTTCTATCAGGTAACATCCCTTTACCAAAGCTAGAAGAACAGGAGACTTTTCTACAGGGCTATCAGTGAAAGAACTCGTGTCATTTCTGTATTTTATTGGGAAATCTAAGGTTTGTGCAGTCAAAAATGAAATACCCTCACATGTATTTTGATATAAAGAAAAGCAACCACACTGCTAAACTTCTTACAACATTCTTCTGCTGTAAATTGTCTTGCTGTTGAAATACTCACTGTTTGTGAAGCTGGAAGGCAACATGAGAGACAATCTTGGTGCTTGTGTTTAGCAAAGTGTATTTGGTGTTGTTCTTTAAGATACCAAATGGCTTGAAGTCTTTAGAGAGAACAATAAAAGCTGATGATTAAAAAAAAAACAAAACAAAACAAAACAACAACCATTATTTTTTCTTGAACTAGTTTGTCAGTAAAACAAAAGAAGTTGGAATATATACAATGGGATATATATAAATAAATAAATAAATAAATATCGCCTTTAGCTTAACTCTGGCTCTGGTAGAGTCAGAAGTAACAAAGCCTGGTATGGCAGAGGAGTCCATAACATTGTTCAGCATCTCTGTGAAGTACAAACAGAACTCCGATTTTCATTACAGAAGAAAGAGGACTTTGAGGAGATGATTGACTCCAATGTTTTGCTTGCACTGAATATTTCCTTTTTTGTATCCCTGTGCGCCATGTCTGTATGGGTTACCTTCTAGTTCCCACCTTGTATTTTTATTCTCACAAATTAAATACATAGATTTGTACAAAATTTGAGAGAGATTTTTAATTTTAGAGCATTAGCTATGTCTGTGGATGAAAAGTACTTTGTAAGATGGTGCTGAAGAGTAATGGATTTAACTGTAGGGCTTAGCCTGTTACCCTCAAGTAACAGTCATGCCAATACCTGAAATTCTGTAAGGAAATCTCTGGAGCAGACATCTTGTTCCCAGACAGGATGTTTGTCCTAGGAAGGTCAGCCATGGGAAGGGGGTTGTTATGAAGAAGCTGCACAGCTCCAAGATAAACACAAGCACCCACGCTCTGCCTCAGTGGCTCAGAGGACAGGAGACCATCACAGGAAGAAGTGCTGTGCTGGCCAAATGGGGAGGACTGCTATAGCAAATAAAATACATTGCCACTGACTCATCCTGCCACAGAGAGCTTCCTTGCTGAACGTCCACTAGTCAGAGGCAAGATAAGACAAAGCTCGCTGAGAGAAACTAGGGACCCACTGAAAGAAGAATTCTGCATCAAACTAGAACCAAATAGTCCAGATTATTCACTTCCAGGCATAAAAAGCACTGTAAAAGCCTGAAAAACAAACTTTTCTTCCTGGGTGGTGCTGCCTTCAAGTACAGGTTCAAGAATCCAGATTTATGTACTCCAATTGTAATGCCGTGCACTAGGAGAGATCATGATGTGCTGAGCCATGAAGTGCTAGAAAAGACCCTTGCAATTACTGTAATAGGATACTGCTAATCACCAGTTTGAGTCTGCTCTTAGGGCTCCTGAGAGCATCCCAGAAGGAAAGAAGGGTCCTCCATGACTGTGCTGGCACACGCTTCCCCGAGGGCCAAACTCACCTCAAGAGAGTGCATGTTCTGAATGTGTTTGCAGAGATAAGCCATTACTCCCATTCTGTCTCTCTGTACTTCTGTGTAATAAGCACCACCAGATCCATGCATGTGCTCCTTCAGGCCCTGCCACCTGCCTGATAGACGAAGTCCTGAGCATGGCCATTACCATAACTATTTCTCCTATGAACTGCATATTCTACATCCCTGCAAACAACAGGTAATAAAAAAATTAGCGATTCACAATACACGTGCATTGTTTCTCAACATCTCAGAAGGCCACCAAGCATATGAGGAGTATCATAATTGGAAAAACACTGAGAAAAATGCTTGAGAGTTTGAATAGTGGTGGTATTGGGATCAGCCATTAGTGGCTTGTGCATAATGCTGCGTCCACAAACTGCTTTGGCAAGCTCCCTCTCAGGCCATTGTGTGTCTGTCATGTATTGCATGGAAACCCTAGGCTGAGTGAAAAGGACCGCAGCTGCTTTTGCTGATAAAAGAAATCACAGCCATTGAGTAGGTTCTGTTTTCATTTGCTGCCCTGAAAGGTTGTGTGCTTAGTAAGATTTGAACTGACTGGAGCTGATTTTTTTTTTCATATTTGTCTGGCAGGAAGCGAGAGCAAACACTTGTTCCACTCTTATCGTGCCTTTTTGCAGTTACTTCGTTATTTGTTTGAGCTTCACATAAAACAATTGTTTTGATACTTGAATTCTTTAAAGGGTGTTGAATTAAAGCTTCTATTTAATCTCACTAATCCAATTAATTGCCAGGCTGTAACACTGTGCTAAAGTGTCAGGCTTTTCAAGATTCAGAGCCTGCAAATCATAAACCTTCACAAATGCACAAGCTCAGCCTAAAAGTCATTTATGATGCATACATAAATCACGAGGAGAGACTTCAATGGGTACCATACAACAAGCATGTTAGCAGAGAATTCCCACTTTGAGAAATACCCACACGTTCTACTCATTTTTGGCCTCCTCCTTTGACTATCAGAGAGAATGGGGACAAGATTATTTACATAGAAAAAGGGAGAGGAATTTGAGAGTGAACTGCATGGCCGCAGGAGCTACCAGCCCAAGGTATCATCAAGTAACTATTTAAAAGCAACAATCAAACCAACAATTTGGACAGAGATGATCCCACATTCCCCATGCAGCAGAGGCTAGCCTTAAAACTGCCGGTTCACTGCTGCTCCCCTACCCACACACTGCAGTGAGAGAACAGACTGCCTGATGCTTGTTCCCTGCAGCCTGAACTGCCTTAGAAGTTGCAAACACACATTTCCTTAATGAAGGGGTTTGTTACAACGTCACCACTAATAAGGGAATTACAGCCCTGACTCAGACAGCCACAACCACCAAATGAGGAACCCTTGAGAAGGCCAGACGAGCTACCTACGGGGCAGCATACGTTAGTACCTTGGCGTCCCATGGCCTGCGTACTGTGGAGGGTGCTGCACCCCATGGGATGGCGTGAACCCCCTCTGGGCCCAGGTGACACCCCGAGGCAGGGCCCAGACGCCCCTCGTGGTGCTGGTTCGAAGCACAAACAGCTCTGGGGCTGGCTCAAATCCTTACAGTGTTCTGCCACGTTGCAATTTATAAACCCAGGCAAACAAGTAGCTAAAATTGAGGACCTGTATCACAAAATTGTGACCTGCAAATTCTGCCTTACTGCATAATATGTATTTGTAAAACAACTCGTGTTTTCTCAGTGGTTAGTAGTTAGAGCAAAAAGTAAAATAGTGCATTCAGTTAAAAAAAAAAAAAAAAAGGTCAGGGCAATTACTGAGCTGCTGTAAATGTCTCTAGTTCCCCTGGACTCTATGGAGATAGCTTGATTTATAATCTGCTAAGTTTTTTTTTTTTTCCATTACTATGCAGATCTGTAAGATATAATAATGTATTAGATTCCCTAGCATATAGATGCCAGGTTTTCAAATAAAATTTCAAGGTGGAGGTTTCTTTAGTTGTATGGAAATACAAGAACTGAAGTTTGTTTATTGATAATAATGATTATTTTATGCTTTGGTAGTAACTGGGAGCCCCAGGAAAAAAATCTCTATTAGCTGTAGTGATACTGTATTCAACACAGGAATAAAAAAAAGCAGCCTCAACTGAAAAGTGCTTGCAATCTAAGCTCCATCTGCAACAGGAGTCTCATGGTATACGTTGTCCATTACCCAATTTTCTTTGGCACCTCTTCTACTCCAGCTATCATCTCCTGTATGTATTTGTTCTGCCTTCCCCTGCAGCTCTGTCCCGAGGGAAATTACACTTTTACATTCTTGATCAACAAGTAAAGCTCTAATGTTTCTCTTTAAAGCCATGTATCTCAGGCTTTTATGTTTCTCTTTAAAGCCATGTATCTCACCCACACTGACATTTCTTGCAGTCGTCATCACATCTGTTCCTTCAGCTAACCATTTCTTAATAAATGCACAGAATGTGCCTGCAGCTACCAAACAACCACCTCCTCAGATTCATGGGTGTTTCTAAAGTTCATTGTAAGCACTGGGAAGATTGTTAAATGGTTCGTTCCTGTCAGCACAAAACTGTCTAGTACTTAAAGAACCATTGCTAGTGCTGCAGAGACTACAGATGGTTCTGTAAATTAATTGTTTACATGTATGGTGGCCCCAAGACTATCCCAAAGCTTCTTCAAGTTGTTAACACACAAGGTTTCTTACACCCTTTCACCTGCTGCATTAAATCAGATAAGTTCTTTTAATTTCATAACTTTCAAAGTTGTTCCTAACACACTCTGATGATGGTGGTATAAAAAACAAAGCTGTGAATTATATCTCTTCTAATTGTAATGCTAAAACCTGGCTGCTAAAGCCGAAAGCTATTTCTGAGATACTACAGAATGGCAAAAGTACTACATCATCCAGTTTTAATACTTTGGGGGAGAGTATATTCTTCCAAGGTTGCCTCAGAGCTTGAAAATGCAAAAGGTTTCTTGCAGTTATGCTACTTTTGCTATGAGTGACACTGAGCAGGTAACTATACTGCAGTAACGTGAAAAGTATTTTCATTTTCAGTGAGGTGGATGACTTTTCTGGAGTTTATTTCTACAAGGAAATGGCAGTCCCACCAACCAACCTTTTAAAACCTCTTGTAAGTCCTGCTGTGCTGTTTGCTATAGACAAAAGCTCAGAGTCCTGTTATTAACAGATCACCAGCTGTGCAACACTCAACAGCAATTTTGTAGCTGCTGCTGAGAGTATAAGCAGAAAGTGCCCCAGGGAGAGTGAAACTAACAAAACAGAGCACTGTGGATCTCCCCAAACATCTTGCTTCATTAGGGAAAAAAAAAAAAAGGCAAGAGTTGCAGAAATTCTGAGGTCTGCAAAAGGTGCCTCGAATGGCACTTAAGTCTGATGGATTCAGTTCAATAAAGGAACAAAGTTTAGAGCTCACTTGATCACAGTAAATAGGGGTAAAAGATTTTTGTCAGAGATCACTTGGTCTGAAAGACGGTGACAAATTGAATAGAGATATATTGATAGGAAAACTGATCAAGCATGACTGATAAGCTATGGAGCGTGTCCCTGTGACGTGGGCAGGCTTTCCCCTCAGCAAGAGGCATCTCAGGGGAGGGATGCCGGCTCACAGGGAGGCAGCACTCTGCTGCACAGAGTGTGAGGGGAAATTCTGCAAAGTTCTGCGTTGTGGTGGTCTGGGCTGGGGCGAGTAACAAAATGGCTTTGGGGGCCACGCATCAGCTGCAGGAAGGCGTTTTACAGAAACTGGGACATATTTAAACTTTTTACAGAAACTGGGACATATTTAGACGTGCTGGAGGCTGAGCTTGTTTTACAGAAGAGGTGTTTTTTGCCCTGGCTCAGCAGTTCTGGCGCACACGGCCAAGACCCCCCTGGCACCCCTCAGGGCCGGGCCCGCCGCTCCCCGTCGCCATGGAAACGGCCTCAGGCACGGAGCATGCCGGGCCGAAAGAAAACGCAAGGGCAAAACCCTCCTGGGGCAGCCAATGAGCGCTCGGGAGAGAGGTGGCGACGCCCAATGATCGGCGGGGGGGCGTGGAGGGGGCGGCCCGAGGGGCGGGTCCAGGGGCGGCCCGCGGGGAGCACCCGCAGAGCTCGGCGGGGGCCGGGCCGGGAGCGCGTGGGGGCTGCTGCTGCCGCAACGCCGGGCCGGGCTTCGCTCCCCGCAGGCAGCCATGG